AGCCTATTGGTCCCAAGCAAACGATTAACGTACCCTATTCTAGTTGAAATTCTATTACTACACTATGTTTGTTTTGATTCGCTATGAAAGTTTGACAGATAACATCAGGGGTGTGTGGATTCATGCAGAACATGCAGGGGTGAGTGAAATAGCTTGGGACTGCTTGGGACCGTTGTTCTGGTACTGAGTGAGCCAAAAATAATAATGATTTTCTTCGGGACCCAGTGGTCTTAGAGTTACCTCTATGGTAATACTAATCTGTTTTCTTTCTTTTCAGCTGAAAAAGCTTCTCGCTAGTCCAGGAGAGCATCTTACCCAGGCGGGATACACTTTTGTTTCGGCAAATGATCCCCAAATCAACGATTCCCCAGATCCAGAATCGCAAGATCCGCTTGCTTCATCTACGATGGCGTTTGAGGATGAGCAGCAGTTGGATGACATTCACGAAGAAGAGGATAACCATGTTAATCTGAAGGACGATACGCAAAAACAAATCCCGGATGTCACAATGCAAGATTCAGCTTTAAATCTGTCCATGCATGCATCGCCAAAAGTAAGCACCAATGCAACGCCGGCGCCTGAAGTCGCTTGCAGAGTGAGCGACCAGGAAGAAATGGAGGTGTTGCTTTTGCAACCTACGCATGACGGTGCAAGTGTTCCTCCACTTGTGGCAGATGCCTTGGCAGGCCCTTCTAGAGCTGTTGTTCCATGTTCTACAAATACCGAAAGATCCCAAATCATATTGGTGAACATTGTGGAACATGATCCTGTCCCGGATGGTGAAGTTTTGACAAACAAATTGTGCGCCACATGCTTGCCACTAGCTGACCAAATGATTCAAGAGGCTAACAAGAAGGTTAAGGACACAGCCAAAGAAGTCAAAAGGCTTCGCAAAAGGGCAGAAGAGGCTGAGCGAGCTAAAGTTCAGTCCGACGATCTGGCTCTATCTCTGTCACGAGAGTTACAGGATCTTAAGGAACAACAGAAGATTCCATCAGTAAGTATCGAAATGTAAAAAATTATATCATTATTAAAACTTTTATCCTAAAACATAATTATTATTTATTCCAGATGAGATTCACAACGGAACCGGAAATAGAAATATCTTATGAGAAGATTGTGGAGATCAATGATGAATCGTCAACCGAGAGCTGAGAGAATAAAAAAAAACTTAATAGAACATTACAATGTATGGTTAGACCATTTTATAAAACCATTCATTTACTCTATTATCAATCTTCTCGATATAATTGTTCAACCTCAAAAATAAATTAAAATGAATGGTTCAAAGTTCCTTTTAAAATCACATACGAACATTAAACACAATGGTTATAAGCAGCTCTTTTCATAATATTCAATGAATGGTTCAAGAAAGGTTCGCTGAAAAAATATGTGTGAAAATTCTTCATTTTCAGTATGGTAATTATACTTAACAGCCTATTGATTTTATGGTTGACTCTCTTAAAACGATTTATGATATGGTTAAAATCATATTATCTATGGTTGAGCTATAGTTTGTAAACCATTGATGATATGGTAAGCTGGTGGAAGATAAACCATTCGTAGTATTGTTCAAGTATGTTTAGATTCTATGCGGGTAACTGGCGAAGAAATCCATTTAAATAATGTGGTTCACTGTAATAGAATTTTCTTGCAAGCTTGTGCCATCATCCACCAGATGGGTTAGTTTTTTTGTTTTGATTTGAACAAAGTTGATTTTGTGTACAATGATTCTTTGACAGTGTGCAAAGAGTGCGTATCATTTTGTCATTTTTTTATGCATTTCAGTTTTGAGTAGAGTGAAAGAGATAGAACCAAAACATTCTAGTACATTTGGTGAAAATGCTAGTTCAATCTAGTAGTAGCAAAGATGAATACTAAGATGAAACTGTCGGAAGAAAAACCTTCAATTTTAGTGTCCTCTTTCACGGTCCCTTTCATCCAATGAATACCCCCCGTATTCAAAGTAATTTTGTGGTGTTGCTGCCCCCTCAGTAGAGATGAAATCAAAATCAAAACAAACACACCAAAATCAGAGATGTCCCATTTTTTAATTACTCGATTAACAACTAATAGATTATTTTTTGTTCGCTGTGATGCCATTTTTCCACCAATGAGAGTGCAGCACATGTTTGAAACGATCGGTGATGATCCTCTGGAGATGTTAATGCTAATATCGGCACGATATAACCGATTACAAATATTTTACTGTTCGGTTCGTTAATCGACTAATCGATTATCCGAATGAAAATCGGCCATCACTAGATGAATGTGAAACGTCATTTCAAATATAAGCACCGTACATAAATAATGATACAATTTGAAAGGGACCGGGTCTAATCACAAATTACGTCCCCACGGTAACTGAAATAAACACGAGTGTTCACCGGTTGGTAGTAGCAACCGGTGAATACTCGTGTTTATTTCAGTTACCGTGGGGACGTAATTTGTGATTAGACCCGGTCCCTTTCAAATTGTATCATTATTTATGTACGGTGCTTATATTTGAAATGACGTTTCACATTCATCTAGTGATGGCCGATTTTCATTCGGATAATCGATTAGTCGATTAACGAACCGAACAGTAAAATATTTGTAATCGGTTATATCGTGCCGATATAAGCATTAACATCTCCAGAGGATCATCACCGATCGTTTCAAACATGTGCTGCACTCTCATTGGTGGAAAAATGGCATCACAGCGAACAAAAAATAATCGATTAGTTGTTAATCGAGTAATTAAAAAATGGGACATCTCTGATTTTGGTGTGTTTGTTTTGATTTTGATTTCATCTCTACTGAGGGGGCAGCAACACCACAAAATTACTTTGAATACGGGGGGTATTCATTGGATGAAAGGGACCGTGAAAGAGGACACTAAAATTGAAGGTTTTTCTTCCGACAGTTTCATCTTAGTATTCATCTTTGGTAGTAGTGTTGCCATGTGGTACAATCCAGTAGTAGTGGTGTTGCCATGTGGTACACTGAAAAATTACAATAGCAGGTTAGTCACCAAAGTTTTCGAGCCGCTCCGTCTGTCACTTCGTTTGTGTCAATACGTTGAACCTAGTGGCAATTAGAAATGCTTATAGTTAATTTTTCTGAAAATCTTGACAACCAGCAACAAAATTGCTTATTTTTCTATACTTCTCTGAATGCCCAAGTATTAGTGCAGAACTATGAGGTTACTGTCTCTAAGTTCTGCACTAATTCAGATCATGAGATCTATCTATGGATGATTCTCCAGTGTAAACCGAGAGGGAACTCTATCTACGCTGCATGCAAGATTGTGTTGTGCTGTGGCTAGCTGCTCGCACGCTGAGTAGATAGAAAGAAGATTGATGACGATTCTGAAGATTTCCTGCAAAAAGATGATGCGCGATGCAAGTAGATGCGAGAAATGCAAGAAGATTTTTCGAAGATTGATTCGCTATGTTACCATGCATCGCTGGTTGAGCAACTCGAGTTACTCAGAGTTGCTCAAGATTAACTCAAATTTTACTCATGATCAAAATCTGTATTGCCCCCAGCGTTGAATTCATTTTAGAGTAGCTTCGAACGAGCGTGATATGACATTTGTGGTGAATTTCGTCATCAATCGAGGTCACCATGCACGGGCGTGACGAAAGAGGGGGCACAAAATACAGCTACTCACTGCCGTCACTGCTAAAGTCCTCTGACATTTGAATCGGCCGTTATAGATTTTTGAGCAAAAGTTAGGCCGTTCGCAATGCTGAGTTTCAAAATTGTTTTAAACTACTTGACAAGAATTATTCTATAATTTGAAACTGTCAAAAATAAAACTGCAACAAAAATAGTCGAGCAGTTGCAAATCTGGTGCAAAATAGTACTCGAACAATGAAACTGCAACTCAGCATTGCGAGAGGTACGTTTCTGTTCTAGTTTCAAATTGAAACAGTCCTTATAAAATACAACATCATTGCGAACGGCCTTACGTCTTGTGAATATTCCGAGTCTTCAAAAAATTAAAAAAAAAATAAACTTCAGACTAGTGGAGCTAATCTGCGCCCAATCCGCGTTAGACCAAATCTAAGATGCAAATCCATGAAAATCGCGATATTTGCAAAATCCGCGTTGTCGTAACAACCCTGCATATCCTTGAATCTTATTCAATAATACGAGTAGGTCAGCAAGTCCTCCCCACTTCTTCCGAATTTCATCAGCTCTAATCGAAGCATGTACTTGATCTGTTCCAACGTCTCCAGACTTAGCTACATCCATACAATTCTCCATATCGACTTTCGAAGTCCCGAAGACTTCGGAAAATTTACCGAACTATCGCTTAGATTCCGGAAGTAGGTATTTAAATTTAAATTAGCATACGTTGCCAAAAAGGAACACAACAGCATTTCCAAAGTCATGAGTCCAAGAGCTTTAATTTTGATTACACGGGAAAGCCTAGATAAATTTAAAGAATCTTAATACATTGATGTAGAGTTCTTTAAGTAATCTTTTGGAAAATGCCATGAGGACTAAAAGGAAAGTTAGGAGACCTAAATAAAGCTAAATAATAATAATAAGTTAGGAGATTCATAGAATATTTGAAAATCGTTCTGTTCAGAGGATTTCAATGTTCAAGATCATCTATTATCCGGATGATCTTGAACATTGAAATCCTCTGACATTACTAACAGATTTCAATGGCAGAAAAATATACAGAATCTCCAACTAGAACATCTTTAGCAGACTCTTCTGTAGACTCTAGAGCTTATTCTACACACACAGTGAGGGGACTACGTTCGGAGAACTGACTCGTTCAACTCGCTGCCTCTTATCCAGAGGGATTCCGGAACATCTGCGATACCATCCATTACCCGGAAGAACGGAACCCTCCGGATAAACCGCAGGGAGCGCCCATTCAACAGTACAGACATCTTCAGTTTTCTAGTTACTATTCAATACACATCCTCAGTTCGTTCCGTGCCGACGTTCATCGAACCCTAAAACCCACAGGAATAATCGTCCGCACAATGCAGCCATAGTTTCTTAACTCTGTATTTTTTGTGGTTATCATTAAGATTAAATTACAAAAAAAAGCGCCAGGAGAGTTATTTACTTCTTCTTCTGCTTCTTTTCCTTCTTGGCCGCACTGGCTTCACCCTTGGCGGCTTCTGGTTTCCTCTTGGGCGCTTCCTTCTTGCCGGCGGTGGAGGTTGCCTTCTTCTCGACCTTCTTTTCCTTCTTTTCCTTCTTGTCTCCGGCGGTCTTCTTTCCGCCATCGGCCTTCTTGGCGTCAGACTTCTTGGAATCGGTCTTCTTGTCCGACTTCTTGGCGTCAGCCTTCTTGGCGGCATCAGTGACCTTCTTCACTTCCTTCTTGGCCTCCTTTTTGGCGACCTTCTTGGCAACCTTGGCGGCGACCTTCTCCTTCTCCTTGTCGCGTTCCTCACCGACCGAGCTGCGCGAGTCACGCATCGACGACAGGCGGGACCGACGACGGATACGCTCCTGACGACGGCGCAGGTGCAAGATCTTCATGTACTCGGCTTCGGCTTCCTTGCGGGACTCGACGCGGTGCTTCTTGATTGCCAGACGGTGCCTCTTGCGCTGCAGAACCACTGGAGTGATCAGACGCTGAATCTTCGGTGCCTTGGTCTTGGCCTTCTTGCCATCCTTCTCCGGCAGCGGACGCTTGACAACAAACTGACGGACATCGTCTTCCTTGGTCAAGTTGTACAGCTTGCGGATATTGCTGGCACGCTTCGGTCCCAGGCGACGAGGAACGATGGTGTCGGTCAATCCGGGAATGTCCTTCTCTCCCTTCCTGATGACGATCAGCGCCAGCGCCGACAAGTTCTGGTCAACGATGCAACCACGGACCGATTTACGCTTGCGCTCACCGGTACGACGTGGGCGGTAGCAAGAGTGACCCTTCTTCAGCAGCAGACGGACACGGGCTGAAATAAACAATAAAAGTTGTTGATGTTGTCACAACTACACAACAATAAAAGATACTCACTGTTGGTTAGGACGCCCTGCTTCATGGGGAAACCCTGCTTGTCGTTTCCGCCGGCAATCTTGAAAACGTAGCCCTTCCATTCGTCACCGAGATGATCAGCGGTGATTTCGGCTCCCATACGCTTCTCGTAGAAGTGACGCAGCTTGTGGTCGTCCATGACCTCGAAGGTCTTCTGGGCCCCGGTAGCGGGAAACGATACGTTCAACTGTTGGAGAACATTGAAGCTTGCATTAGTTTCACCACCCAAACAGAACCCCAGTTAGAGGTTAATCAAAACAACTAGCACTTCAGTGGCCATTCAGTGATTCGAACTATGCTGAAAATCATTCCATTGCACCGCAAAAAATCACTTCCATTATCCGCTTCACCCCTTCCCAACTTCACTCAAATAAAACAGTCCATTTTAAAATTCGTATATTCCACTGCGGTCCAATATTTTTTTCGCCGCACAAGACCTATGTCAACTTTAGCCGAACGGGAAGAACACACGTTGCGGGCAACACAAAATTCATTTTCCAGCTGATAATTCTCAGGCCCACACTAGCCGGGTCGATAAACACCCGACCCGGTTAACGATTTCAACATTTTTCGATCACTGGATGCCATATTTCGTCAACAAAACCACAAAATTCACATTAATCGACCCGTACCTTCATCTTACACGTCTATTTCCATACACTCGCCGAGAGTAAAAAGGCTGTCAAATTCAAGCGCTGCGCTGAAGGTAGTACTAGAGCGAATCAGGTACCAGTCAACTTCCGTTTTCCGTCTGTCATCGGGAAATGTCACGCGTCAGCCGAGTTCGAAAACAACGCGCAGCTGCGCGTTATATTCGAAGATGCGGTCGAGGGGGTTTCAAATCAACAAATCAGAGAAAGCCATTTTCATCAGCCCAGTGGCAGGCGCGTAGGCAACATGTTATACCGTGACAGCGGGCCCAGCACAGCAAAATAAACGATTTGAGCCCGGGATATGCTGCCTACTGTCAAACCACCGACGAACCGACGTGACAGCTCATACAAACTACTTTTAAATTCATGCCCAAGACGCCACCCAAGTATCAATTTCCAGTTGAAGAAACGCTTTCGTTTTGATTTTGTTCAGCTGCACGTTGAATAATAATTGCACAATGTGTTCACCACAACTTTTATAAAACCCTTGTTTACACTGGTTTGGAGAAACTATACAACTGCAACACAGAGGTGTTGTCTAACGTATTCAGTAAAACGTTTACCCAAAATCAATTTCTTGTTGAAGAAACGCTTCCATTGTGATTTTATTCAACTGCATGCTGTACAATTTGTTTATTACAACTTCTGTAAAACTCTTGTTTACACTGGTTTGGAGAACCTGTTCAACTACAGCATTATACTAGGGGCATCCCACTCTAAACTTTGTATTTACTGCGTTGTACACAAAAACTCCTTACTGTACCTAGAAATACTTAAAAATACTTAGCGTTAGTTCGTTGCTAGACAAATTTGTTTTGTTTGTTTACCCGATGTTGTCTGGGATTTAGTGTGAATATTTTGAACATGCCCTTTTCCTGAAAGCTTTTATACTTAGACTGTGAACCATTTGCCGAGTTAAAATTAACTCGTGGTTAAAAGTGACATTTCGAAAGTTATTTTCTATGTTCGAAAATCCCCGTGTTGTCGATCGACCGGTTTTCGATCCACTGTTGTCAAAATTTAACTTCTTGTCTGTCAGAAATAACCATGCTCGGATAGCAGGGTTCATCGATAACTTTCCATCTGTCAAATTTTAACCAAAAGTTAAAATAATCCACCAAATGGTTCAGAGCCTTAGGCTGTGAACCATTTGCCGAGTTAAATTTATCTCGTGGTTAAAAGTGACATTTCGAAAGTTAGTTTCTATGTTCGAAAATCCCTGTGCTGTCGATCGACCGGTTTTCGAGCCACGGTTGTCGAAATTTAACTTCTTGTCTGTCAGAAATAACCATGCTCGGATAGCAGGGTTAATCGATAACTTTCCATCTGTCAAATTTTAACCAAAAGTTAAAATAATCCACCAAATGGTTCAGAGCCTTAGTTGGTTTCTCATTTTTATTCCTTATATTCCATAAGTGTGTTAGGACGTGTGCTTCAACAGTACCCGTAAGGAATGTTTCGTCTATTATGGCTACGATTTTGGAAACAATTTGAGTGGTTCGATGATTTTTTATCTTGTTTGTTCTTTCAAACATTTCACTAACCGTGATCCGTTTGCCAAGTTATTGGAATAAGTCACGGGAATGATCCGCCTATTGCTCGTTTAATTTGAATTCGATCGTTGTCTTATTTTCAGTCAGATATTGATCGTGCGTCGATAACCGAAATTATTTATGCTGATTGAAGCTGAGCCATATATTTGAAAAACTTTCGCACAATCTACATTCAGACAGCATTTCGAGGTGTCATAGCTTCAAGTCAAACGTGTTTATCAAGAAATTGACAAAACATCCTCGAATTCGAAATTTTCAACGCTCTTTAGCAAAACGCAAAATATCGCCAAAACAAAAGGAACCTTTTATTTTATTATGGAACTATATGCTCATTCATTTCATCAGAAATTCTTAATAGTTATGTTAAAACATGGTTGTTTATACATGTGGCTTAGAAAATTGATAAACACTAAGTATAAATACTTTCCTAAAAAAAAAACAAATCGTATCGGGGCAATGCTAAATATGATTCGTCTTGGTAGTCTTTGCTTCTCCTTCTCTGTGTCGCGTGTTTCGTCTGGTTTCCGCTATGGGTCGGAATCATCATCTGGTTCATGGATGTTCCGAAACCTTAAAGTAAAAAACGCATATTAAATTTTAAAGGATCCGTTGGTTACTACTTAGAATTCTCACCCAATTATCACCCCCGGACACCCACCCTGACGGATCATCGCATCCCGGACCAGGACCCTAATACCCACAGCTTACCCTTAATCCCACCCGAAAAAGAGCAGGAATTAAGATGCCATGCCCAAAGATCTTTTTTTTTTTCATTTCTTTGCAAACCGTTTTATTTTGCTTTATCCTGCACTCAACTACTAAAATAATTTCAAAATATGAATAATTATTTTAAACATAAGAAGCATGTTTAAAATAAACATATTTATTATTGTTCGCATAGCTGTCAAACCAATCAAAAATATATACGTTTATTTTCAACACGAATATTTTTGAAATAAACGTAATATTATTTTTGTTTTAAACATTGATTTCACATGACTTCAAACATGGAATACGTTTGAAATCAACCTAATTTATGTTTGTGGCCAGAACAAACTGAGTTTACGATTAAATTTACCTCAAATATTTTTGTTTCGACCATAGTTTTTTCTGCGTGTCACCGTGAGTAAATAAAACAGTTTTTGTTATATTTCTGCAGAAAAAAAACGAGCTCATTTCAACGGAAGGTTGGTTGTGAATCGGGAAGTGTACACGGCTAACAAGCTGCTGATTCAGCCACACTTGATGCAGCTTGACTTCCTTTACGAGTGAATCAGTCAGTAGAAGGGAAATATGTGGAGGATTCTAAGGCCACTGCACCGACGCTTTCGGAAACCGGGTGGACGAAATGATCCCAATAGTAGGTGTCCGCAGCATCAGCTGACGAGATTAAAAATTTTCGGATAAATCAGACGGCAGCTTGTTGTAAGTTCCCCGGTAGCGGTAGAGCCATAGAGGTAACTCTAAGACCAGAAGGTCCCGAAGAAACGAGCTCAACTTTTTGGCTCAGCTCTGGTACCATAGAGTTAACTCTAAGAGTAGTAGCATAGAGATAACTCTAAGACCACCCGCATAAATCACAACCATACGATTACCACATTGAAAATGGTTTATCTTCCTCTGAAAACCATAATGAGAAAGGTTCAGTCAACTTTAATCAAACCATACCTAGATAAAGTTTTGACCATATGGATTAAGGTTTTCGAAGACCCAACCATACGAACAATGGGTGGTTAAGAACGTTCACCATACGGAATCTCGCTTGTTCCCATACATTTTTAGCAGAACAACTATAGCCTTACCACATCAGAAAAGGTTCTAGTTGGATATGTGAAACTATTTCCATTAACTTTCGAATAAGGTAGTACCATAGAGGTAACTCTAAGACCACTGGGTCCCGAAGAAAATCATTATTATTTTTGGCTCACTCAGTACCAGAACAACGGTCCCAAGCAGTCCCAAGCTATTTCACTCACCCCTGCATGTTCTGCATGAATCCACACACCCCTGATGTTATCTGTCAAACTTTCATAGCGAATCAAAACAAACATAGTGTAGTAATAGAATTTCAACTAGAATAGGGTACGTTAATCGTTTGCTTGGGACCAATAGGCTACTAAAGTGGTGAGCCAATTTAAAATCGTTAGTTTCGTATTGATTGTTGGTAGTATGGTTTAGAACCAACCATTGTTGTTAACTTCCTGATATACTATGAAATGGTATAAATTACCATACTTATTGACGTTATAATAAATACTGTCGTAGCTTATCCGGAATACAGCCATCATGAGCTGTTCTTTAATTTTATTGTGATTTACAAGATTTCTTTTTGTGGATACCTCCCTTGCCCTTGGTAACATGTTTATTGATCTTAATATTAAATAAATAAATAAATGAATTTGCCCTGCAAAACAAACTCCATTCCATTTCTGGAAAATAAAAAGGCCCCGGCAAAACGAACCTGCTTGGATTTCCTTTTTGGATGATGTGAGCCGCCAGCATCGAAATCTCCTTCACATGTAAACGGCTGCTAGCCCTGAATATTTGTGTAGAAATTGCATGCACTTTTAAGAAATATTTTATACTTTAAGCTAATATTACCAAAGATGATTTACCGAGGGTTTTAAAAATAAAATAACGAACAAAACAACACAATGAACTTACGAGCACAGTTTCAATCAAAAGCGTTTTCTTCTGTTTGTACCAATTGTAAAAACATAAAGCAACCATAATCGAAACACGTAAGCGTTGTACAAGTTGTTTACAACTTTTATTCGTAATGTTTTGCAACAGTTCAGTATAGTTGATCAACCGTAGCAAAATTTAGCTGGAACATACCAGAAACTGTAACAGTTGAAAGTAGTGTTTCTTTAATGTTTATTACATTCCATAAACCATAACAAAACTATTTTGTGTAAAGTTAACATAGCTAGTAAGGTGTCAGTGAAGTTTGAACTGTTCTAGAAATGGTATTTTTCTATGCGGGCACTGGGTCCCGAAGAAAATCATTATTATTTTTGGCTCACTCAGTACCAGAACAACGGTCCCAAGCAGTCCCAAGCTATTTCACTCACCCCTGCATGTTCTGCATGAATCCACACACCCCTGATGTTATCTGTCAAACTTTCATAGCGAATCAAAACAAACATAGTGTAGTAATAGAATTTCAACTAGAATAGGGTACGTTAATCGTTTGCTTGGGACCAATAGGCTACTAAAGTGGTGAGCCAATTTAAAATCGTTAGTTTCGTATTGATTGTTGTGAATACTAAGATGAAACTGTCGGAAGAAAAACTTTCTATTTTAGTGTCTTCTTTCACGGTCCCTTTCATCAAATGAGAACCCCCCGTATTCAAGGTAATTTTGCGGTTTTGCTGCCCCCTCGGAAGAGATGAAATTTTGCGCTCATTTTTATCAAAACAATCACACCAAAATCAGAGATGTCCCATTTTTTAATTACTCGATTAACAACTAATCGATTATTTTTTGTTCGCTGGGCTGCCATTTTTCCACCAATGAGAGTGCAGCACATGTTTGAAACGATCGGTGATGATCCTGTGGAGATGTTAATGCCTATATCGGCATGATCTAACCGATTATAAATAGTTTACTTTTCGGTTCGTTAATCGATTAAACGATTATTCGAATGAAAATCGGACATCACTAGATGAATGTGAAACGTCATTTCAAATATAAGGCCGTTCATAAATAATGATACAATTTGAAAGGGACCGGGGCTAATCACAAATTACGTCTCCATGGTAACTGAAATAAACACGAGTGTTCACCGGTTGGTATTACCAACAATGAATACGAAACTAACGATTTTAAATTGGTTCACTACTTGACTAGCCCTGGGTACTGTGAACACAGCCGTTTTTGTTTTGCAAGTCAGCAGGAAACAACTTGAAAATTTTCCGATATCACAAATTGTTTTGCTAATGCACTGCTCACAATTTGCATATACATGCTGTCGAAAGTTCACCCTTTGCTCCATAAATAACGTGTACATGGTGTTGGGAGTGCACCTACCCACATGACTCTTAAAAAGTTTGTTTACATTCTTCCTTCAGCAGTTCGTGCAGGTTCGTTCGTTCGTTACATTGTTTATATCCGAGTATTTGAGCAAGTTTTTTGTTGAAGAATATTAGTAAAAAAAATGCCGAAATGACAATATTTTCAACATTGACCACAATGCTTTCTCTGCCGACGGGGATTGTATGAGAAAAGTATCACTTTTAGCAGCTCTAGATCGTTGGATTCTTTTTGACAGCACCAGTTGGATTCTTTTTGACAAGCATTTCGTGTTTCTCCGCATCACTCAGGACTAGCCTATTGGTCCCAAGCAAATAGATTAACGTACCCCATTCTAGTATAAATTCCAGTACTACACTATGTTTGTTTTGATTCGCTATGAAATTTTGACAGATAAAATGAGGGGTTTGTGGATTTTTCTATGTTTCGAGGGGTGCATCGATTAGCTTGGGACCGAAGATAGTACCAGAGCCTAGACCAGAGCTGAGCCAAAAAGTTGAGCACATTATTTCGGGACCTTCTAGTCTTAAGGGCCACCCACATTAGATCCGTTTGCGTTGCGTTGACGTAAATTTGACAGTTAGACAAAAGATTTAGCTGTCACTTTGCCGCAACGCGTCTGATCCGGATCTAATGTGCGTGGGCCTTTAGAGTTACCTCTATGCCCGAATAGAAATTGTAATGTAGGAAACATCAGCAGACATCTTCAATACATTAAATTTTAATGTGTATTGCTGTACCCTTAATGTATTCAGACTTCAGTGTGACATCCAAGTACATTAAAATACATTAGCCTCAAACGTTACATCAGAACCAAACGTTACATTAGAATCAAACTTCATCACGATGTAATTTGTTGCACGCATAAAACATCAGAATACATCCAATTACAACAGAACCTAACGTTACATTAGAATCAAAATTTCTGATGTATACACCATGTTACGTTGCTTAAATACAACTGAATCATAATGTTTTCTAATGTTTGACATCAGGCATACATTTGATTTCGATGCTGATGTAGACATCAAAATCAAACGTTGGGCTAATGTAAATTTCTATTCGGGTGGTTATGTTGATTAACTCTGATGTCGACATCAAACCAGCCGGACATTCTTGATCGGGATTTAATCCGAGGATAATACTGGTTGGAGCTCACCACCATTAGAGTTACCTCTATGATTATATGTATCTGACAGACCAGGAATAAATGTTGACAAACACCTTCTCGAAAATTGGAAGATCAACAACAGAGGGATTTTCGAACACTATAATTTGTTTTCAAAGTGTCAAATGTAAGTTAAAATTCACCAAATGTGTTTTACATTTTTCAGATCATACAAACAGGGACGGTATTAAAAGTTAATCCGAGTTGGAGCTTACCGCCATAAGAGCAGAAGGTCCCGAAGAAACGAGCTCAACTTTTTGGCTCAGCTCTGGTACTATCTTCGGTCCCAAGCTAATCGATTCACCCCTCGAAACATAATAAAATCCACGAACCCCTCATTTTATCTGTCAAACTTTCATAGCGAATCAAAACAAACATAGTTTAGTACTGGAATTTATACTAATCGGCCCGTTAATAATCTGCTATTTATCAATTTTATCTAGATGAACGCGTCATTGGGATGATTCTAATGGATATTGTTGGTCGCTATTTATAATTTACTCGATTGCTGAATTTATGTATGGGCGAGTGTATGGGCCCAAACGAGGGCCCAAATTAGGGGCATTTAGGCCGACATTACATCCATTTCCCCTATTATGGTTTTTTGGAAGTGAACCTTTCAAATAATGTGTTGTTAACCATTACAATTTACCACCTCATTCGAGCTGTTAAAATGACATTTACTACCACTCAAACTTTGAAATAAAAAATTATTTTGAGATTTTTTCTTTTAGAACCAAGAGAAAAATAGCCATAATTTGTGCTTTTCATAGAAAAAATAGTAATTAGTTGGTCCAGTTTTGTGAAATCGCTGGTAGAAAGTCACGCCAAACAAAATGGTCAATTCAAAATTCTTGTTTTCTACATGCATTTTCGGAAAGAAAACTATATTAGAACCTTTTTACTTATGGTTTGAGAACTTTAATGGTAATCGTTGTTGTAGTCAGCAAGGTTCATGGATGGTTTTCCAACATCGATCATCTTTATGTGGAATATATCGCGAATAGGTTCCCTGTAAATTAATGATTACCATTGCCATGGTGGTTCGTGATTATGCAGGATGTCCCTCCAGTAAAAAAAATTCAGTTACCTATTTTCTTGTGCTGCAAAAATTAAACCGCCGATTGAACCATTTCCGACAAAAATTCATTCCGTTGTGCAAACCGTCCATTCAAATATCCAAATTTAGATTCAAATATATACGTCAAGCAACGCGTTTTCCTATGGCTCACCGCGCCGCTTCACTTATCTCGAACACCGCTGACAGACGTCAAACGAATTTCCGTTTACGCTACACCTAGTACCGCACGGTTGCTCTCTTCGCCATTCTTTTCCGGCTGTCATTTACACCGAGGTAAGACGTGATTCCGTGCGGTCTCGCTTTTAAATCGTTGAATTCTTTGCTAGAAAATGGAATTTATTCCATCAATTTCAAATCAACTGTTTCCTTAAGTGAACCACATTCGGAAGCGATCGATTGGAAGGAGAAAAAACGTGAAATTCCGATGAAAATTTGCAATGTTTTTGTCCGTCAGTGCCTCATCGAACTTTTTTCCGTTTTGTCAATTTAACAGGAGGAAACATGGCTCCCCGATATGAAATCTGTGTCGGTCTGAACAAAGGCCACAAGACCACCAAGCTGAAGCAGCTGCAGTACCGTGGCGATCGTAAAGTCAAGGGAATCCGCCCGTCTCGCACCAAGGGTGTAAGTATTGCTTGTTTTTTTTTATTTATTTAATTATTAAATTTGACGTCACCAAACGGCGTCCCTCTACCATGATGAAACATTCCTTAATCCATTCACAGATGGTACGCATTTTCCCGTTGGCTGCCAGGTGGCCAACATTCTGTTGGTTGCCTTGGTGGTTCGACTCGTAAAATCGTACACTATGGTTAATCTTTGGTTCTGACCGATTCCTTGAACTGTAATCTGTAACTGTAGTCAGATTCTATTTCGATGATATTTATTCGGTTCCTTCCCTTTTGCCCCAACAGATCCAAACCAAACACACCAAGTTCGTGCGCGATCTGGTCCGTGAGGTTGTCGGCCATGCACCGTACGAGAAGCGAGGCATGGAATTGCTGAAGGTGTCCAAGGATAAGCGCGCCCTGAAGTTCCTGAAGCGTCGCCTTGGTACGCACATTCGTGCCAAGAGGAAGCGTGAGGAACTTTCCAACATCCTGGCCCATATGCGTAAGGCCGCTCACAAGTAAGCCAGTTCTTGTGTGTGTAAGGAACTGTTTTGTTCTGCTCCGTTTGTAATTAAGGGATTAGTTACATCCAAAAAAAAAACCTGTGAAGAAAAGTACCCGTAAATATAACACAAAAATCGCTTACTGAAATCTACACGACTCTTTTGTTGTCGGGTGTACGCCGTCATTGATCCGAAATGATTCCGTCCTCAGGGAAGCTAGCGGTAGTGTTACTGGTTCCGGTGATCCTAAGTAACATTTACAGATTCTTCGTCGACTTTCTCTTTGTATTACCGCGGCCATGTAAATATATTCTTAGGTATTTTCGGAACACAGATCGATAAAAGAAGCTTTTATCTAGCATCTAATATGACAAACAACAAGAAACAGTTATTTTTTTTTTTGTTGGGGGGAGTTGAACCACTGCGTCCATTATTTGAACTTTTCCGGGGTGATTTGAGATTTGGGCGGTAATTGCTTTTGTAAACAAACATGTCAATCACTGATTTCTCACTAATAAACGCTCAATTTCGTACACAAACTATACCAAATGACAGAGAAATCAATCATCTACTTGATGGTGTTATTAGTTTTCGAGATTGAGGTTTTATTTGCGAGAAATCGTCGATTGACATGTTTGTTTACAATTGTAATTACGCCCAAAATCTCAAATCACTCCGGTTTTGTGGTACCCCTGTTTACTGTTCGTTTCATGCAAGCTAACCACCATTTAATGAGTGGACAGCTAATTGCCTGGACACGTCCTTTCCCAGTCAGGTATGATGTGGTTTATGAAACCAAGTACCTTTCCAGGATTAGCAGACCAAATTCCACTAGGTTGTAGGATAACACTACAAAGAAATTTAGATCTACGCCTGTATAATGCACCGCAACTGCAGAGCAGATGTTCCGAGGTTTCACGTTCTATTCTACAGAAACGGCAGATATCGATCTGAACCCGACCAATGTTCTTCAAATGATATCTACTCGGACAGTGGTTACTAGGTCAGTGTATATACTAAGAGCCCGTTTATTGAGCTTCAAGAGCTTTTTGGTATGTGTTACATTTGGAGTTATAAATCTTTTCGACTGGTTGCACTTCGTGACGGCCATCCAATTGGCCATCACCCTTTGTTCTTCCCAGTGTTTGAGTTCCATTTTTACCGTACAGTTTGATATTCTACAGTATGGTTCTGGGCCAATGAACGGTGAATTGGAACCTAATTTTGCGAGATCGTCTGCCCTTTCATTCCCTTCAATGCCACAGTGTCCAGGAACCCAATATAAGTTTACTGAGTTCTGTTTACACAGCTGTCGCTACGAGAGAATACATTCCCAGACAATCTTTGATGTACATTTACAGAGCCAAGGATTCTTGGTCACTATACAATACATCTTAAAACTATAGTCCAAAGGTACAACACAATAAACACTTTATCTTCCGCTATCCAAAAAGCCTCCTCCATCAGAACTGGAGCCGCTTCAAGTAGTTTCATTGTACGCCAACGAGGGTCAGAGCGCGTCCATTGCAGCAATGGACGCAAAACGTGGTCATCACTCACACACTCGACACTCATCACGAAACGGTTGCTTTCCAATGTCGACGACGCATCGACCGAAAGAACTGCTGATGAAGAACAATGAGGAGGACGACACAATGGTTGCTGCCGAGAAAACAGACGATCGCGTAGCACACATCGAGAGTGGCCTGCTTTTGTCGATAGCCGAGCGCAGCTAGCCGAAACAAAACACAATCTTTCCTGCATCGTAGCTTGAGTCGCCCCCGTCGGCAAATACAGATATTAGCACATCTATATTTTCTCCTTTAGCCAAACACTTACACATTCAAGTATGGCCACGATTTCCGCTTGAAACACTGTTGGACAATGTCCCATCGCTACTGAAATATTTGTCCCAGGGCCAAAGATTCCTGCACCTGTTTGTGTTCCAATTTTTGAGCCATCTGTGAAACATATGATTGAGCCTTGACGAACGCTAGGACCACCGACTTCCCAATCCGAACGCAACATTTCACATACGTTGAAAGGAGTGTCATAATTGTCCTCTGAACTATTTATTTTTCAAAAGGCAGACTTCCACTCTCCACGCAGGCTGCCAACCTGGAATGGGAGCAGACCTGATGTGACTCTAATGGCCTGATAATACACTGGAGCCAGTTTGTAAATCAACCTATCAGCGACAGGCAAGTCAATACTAAACCGTAGGTCAGTCTGAACTGTACGGTAAAAATCAGGCATTAGTATTAAAATCTTCAGAGTATCAATTTCCGCTCATTTAAGGCAATGTTAAAGTTAAAAGTCGGTAATCATTCCTAAGTGTGTACGGTTTCCGGAACATCATTTATACAATTTCGTGATGAATCCAGCTTCTTCAGGTTTATTCAGGATTTTCAAGGTCATCAACTATGTGGTTGAAACCATGAAAAATGGGAGAGGTCATAATATTTCTGAGATGTGATATCTGTTTCAGGAATTCAATGCTCGTCCACAGGTCTAAAGAATACTTTTAATTTCTCTGTATGTAATTCAGCTTGTTGAATTTGTATCAGTACTTTAATCAAATTAATATTAACATTCAGATTTCCACGGACTTTTAAATTTAAAACGTTGCTTAAATGTCGTTACATATTCCCCTGCAGCAGCTTCTCCCGGTTCAACTCCGTTGTCTGAACGGTTTCGCTCCGTATCACACTTCCGCTGGAGTCCATCTCTTCGTAGGAAATGACCACCGGTTTCTCCGTCTTGAGGTATCGCTTCATCACGGTAAAATCGTCGATATTCCTCGAGACGACCGACGACGTGGCCGGTGGTTCCTCGATTTCGATCTTCATTTGCAGCGGCAGGGCATCGGACGTTTCACCATCCATTGACGTCGTCGATTCCGTTCGAGTTTTCATCACCGTGGATGTTTGCTTCCGATAAACCGGCGTGGGGAGTTCTACACCCGCCTTCAGTTCGATTGAGAAGGTATTTTTCGCAATGGGTTCCAGCTTCTCTATGGAAAAGCTGGTGAACGTGCCCGGTTCGCTGGTATCGTCGTCGGTTTTGTCGTCGGTTTTTTCGGCTTCTTTTTTGATCGGTGCTGACCGTTGCCGTCGGGGTTTAGGTAGTGGAGACGGGTCGGGTGATGGTTCATCGTCGTTGTTCTGTGTGATCGAGGACAGTTGCAGAATACCGTGGCGATTGGCACGATAGGTGAACCGGTTGTAACCGGGCGGTCGCTCGAACTGGTGGGCCCGAACTAGATGCTTGGACAAGCTGGCACCGGCCTTGTACTCGCTGGCGCAGAGATGACATGCGTAGATTCCCGGACCAGCGCCATAGTGGATAGAATCGACGTGCTAAATTGGGGGAGAAGAAGCATTTGATTCCGTGCAACAACCGAAGATACGGTTATTTATAGAAAGTGAAATCGGTACCTTCTTCAGTGACCTTTGACATTTGTAGGTGGCTTCGCAGCCAAACTCCTCACACCGGAACATACGCCTTTTGTCATGGGTTAGTACGTGCTCTTCCAGGTCGGCTTTAGTTACGGTTCTGAAATGGCAAACACAATGGAGAATAATCTAAAAACACTGTGATCGCGGATATGGGTGCCTTAAGCTTTGTTCTGAATCCTTTGAAGTGCTTTTCTCCTAGTAGTGCAACAACTATACCTGAGGCAAATCAGGGAGGTCCAAAGTGAATATGTTATACAATATAGGCCCAAGATAACTACCCTGAGGAACTCCAGCTCTAACAGGTAGTCGATTAGATTTGGAATTTTGCCAGTTAAATAATTTTGAACTAATTTCATAATATAAAGTGGAAAATTAAACTTTTTTCAATTTAGCAATCAAACCTTCATGCCAAACACTGTCGAATGCTTTTTCTATGTCTAGAAGAGCAACTCCAGTTGAGTGGCCTTCAGATTTGTTTGAACGAATTAAATTGGTAACTCTTAAGAGTTGATGAGTAGTTGAATGCCCATGGCGAAATCCAAACTGCTCATCTGCAAAAATTGAGTTCGTATTGATGTGAAGTATCATTCTATTTAAAATTATCTTTTCAAAAAGTTTACTTATTGAAGAAAGCAAACTTATTGGGCGGTAGCTAGAAGCTTCAGCTGGATTTTTATCCGGCTTCAAAATTGGAACAACTTTTGCATTTTTCCATTTATCAGGAAAGTATGCCAAATGGAAACATCTGTTAAATAATTTTACCAAGAAAGACAAGGTACTCTCTGGGATTTTTTTGATGAGGATATAGAAAATTCTATCATCACCTGGAGCTTTCATATTATGAAACTTTTTATTTATAGACCTTACTTCGTCCAAACCAGTCCCCCAGGAATCATCAAAAATATTTTCCCGAGAGAAAATATTCAGAAAATCCCGAGCAACCTGATTCTCAATAGGACTAGTAAAACCCAAACTGAAATTATGGGAACTCTCGAATTGCTTAGCAACTTTCTGAGCTTTTTCCAAATTTGTGATCAAAATTTTACCACCTTCTTTAACCGCTGGAATTGGCTTTTGAGGTTTTTTCAAATTTTTTGTGAGTTTCCAAAAGGGTTTGGAACTCGGGTCTAATTTAGAAACATTATTTTCAAAAGTTTTGTTCCTCAGGGCAGAGAATCGCTTTTTAATTTGTTTTTGCAAATCCCGCCAGATAACTTTCATGGCAGGATCGCGTGTTCTTTGATATTGTCTCCTACGGACATTTTTAAGACGGATCAAGAGCTGAAGATCGTCGTCTATTATAATTGAATCGAATTTAACCTCGTATTTTGGTACTGAGGCAGCTCTTGCTTCAACTATAGAAGTTAATATTAATATAATTAATTTCATCTTTGGTTTGCAAAGGAATGTTTGGATCGAAGTTATATTCCATAAATGTTCGATATTGCTCCCAATCAGCTCTATGGTAATTGAAAGTAGAGCTGTTGGGATTATAAATTATTTCTTGGGATATTTCAAAAGTAACTGGAAGGTGATCAGAACCGAAGTCAGCATGGGTAACCAATTGGCTTCAAAGTTGACATGAATCAGTTAAGACCTAATCAATAGTTGAGGGATTTCGTGCTGAAGAAAAGCATGTTGGGCTATTTGGATATTGAATAGTGAAATAACCTGCAGAACAATCATCAAACAGAATATTACCATTGGAGTTGCTTTGAGCATTATTCCATGAGCGGTGTTTTGCATTAAAATCACCAATAATAAAGAATTTAGACCTATGACGGGTAAGTTTCTGAAGGTCACCCTTGAGAAAATTCTTTTGCTGGCCTACGCATTGGAATGGCAAATAGGCAGCTATAAACGTAAGTTGTCCAAATTTTGTTTCAACAGAAACTCCCAAAGTTTCAAAAACTTTGGTTTCAAATGAAGAAAGAATTTTATGTTTGATTCGTCTATGAATAATGATGGCAACGCCACCACAGGGTTCATCAAGACGATCATTTCTATAAATCAAATAATTTGCGTCCTTCTTAACCTTATGGTCAGGTTTAAGGAACGTTTCAGTTATAACGGCAATATGCACGTTATGAACTCTCAAATAGTTAAATAGCTCGTCTTCATTATCTTATCCAATTTAAAATATCTAATGCTTTAAAATCCATTACTGAATTTTAAAGTCATGACAATATTATTTGCAAATTTTACCCCAGTTTGAATAGCATCAAACATGGAGTTAGATTTAAGCATATAAGAAATCATGTCAATTATTGATTTCTGTAAAAATTCCATTTTAGGAGCAGTAATGCCACCGACAAACCGACATGACACTTAATTCTGACTTATGCCCGCAAATCGTGAACGGCCGATTTAAATGTGCAGTGATCCGATCTGTCAAAATCATAGGATTTTTTTATCTAGATAAAAATAATTTGTACAGAATAGATCAGACACGAAACAATTCATAACTTTTGCATGCGGGTTCATGGCTTAGCTGAATATTTCCCGCGAACACGGAGCCAGATGTCAGTAGTGTGCTTTGGTCAGAAATTTTATTGTTTTAGCTATGGTCATTCATGTCGGTTTGTCGGTGGTAATGCTTCCTAAGTCAAAATTGTCAAAATTTCCGTTAAAATTACGTTGTTTATTATTTTGATTTCTACCCGCTGCAATAGCAGCATAGGTAGCTCCATTAACTCGCTGAACATTGTTAACTCGCTGACCGTTGTAGAGGAGGAATTTGTACCTGTTCGGAATTTATGAATATCAACTCAAAAATACACATATTTAGGGTTAAAAGCGACAAAATGGGCCACTTCCCGGGCTCGGCAGCACAGGATGAAACCTGCAGCAACCGATTTACTGGCAAATTTCTGATTAGGAAAGCTTGTTCTCGTTTGAAATTCAGCGGCTCAACTCAACTATCTCAACTATGGGAATTAGGGCTCGTTTTTTCCCATTGTACTGTGGATGCTCGGGTGGATGAAAGATTCGCTTACAATTATGTGGGATTCATCATCGGAGGATGTTAGTGGAGACCGCATGAACCGAGGATCGTGTGCAAGGTCAACTTCTCACATTCGCTACGAACAGAGGATGATAGGAAATGGAACTATATGGCAAGCTTATGAGTGGGGGATCCTTCAGCCGAGATAATCTTCCGCATTTCGTTTCCTGGTTTGTGAATCTTTGGTAAACCTTTGATCCTAAGTAGAATAGGGTTTGAAACTTTCAATTGACTCGTAGTGTTGCCAACGTTTTATCCACATAGATGGGACTGGGTCAATCCTCAACTGTATGGGTCATTAGTAATTTTGTCTTCATTCGATTGTCATAGTTCATAGAATACTGGCTTTGTTTTTAGTTCTTTGAAAATTCGAAATTCCTCTTTTCGGCTTTACTAAGTAAATCAGGGGAAACATGTCAGAAGGGTATAACTCGAAACGTAAACAATGACTTTGAACATCGATTTCTCTTGAATGACCACACACCCACGAAATCTGACTACACCAGCTCATAGAACAAACATTAATCTGACAGATGATTTAGTTAGTTTGATAAAACTTGCAATGTTACTTGGGTGGTACCATAGAGGTAACTCTAAGACCAGAAGATCCCGAAGAAACGAGTTCAACTTTTTGCCTCAGCTCTGGTACTATCTTCGGTTCCAAGCTAATCGATGCACCCCTCGAAACATTGGAAAATCCACGAACCCCTCATTTTATCTGTCAAACTTTCATAGCGAATCAAAACAAACATAGTGTACACTCAAAAAATAAATCACATTTCCGATGGAAAATATCCATTAGAATTTCACATAATTTTCATGTGATCTCATAATTGGGGATCACACCACGAAATCACATGAACCTTATGTGTCCAATGAAGTTCATGTGATTTATCACATAGAATTCATGTGATCATATGATGTTATGTGAATTTCAGGTAAAAATCATTAATTTTGTTATTGGAAAAATATCATATGCGTTCCCAATGGAAACTATATGAAAACTTTTTTCAGTGTAGTATTGGAATTTATACTAGAATGGGGTACGTTAATCGATTTGCTTGGGACCAATAGGCTGGTCAAGTAGTGAGCCAAAAATCGTAAGTTTCAAATTGATTGTTTGTTTGAGCACAAACGAAGTGACAGACGACTAACTGGCGAAGAAATCCATTAAAATAATGTGGTTCACTGTAATAGAATTTTCTTGGAAGCTTGTGCCATCATCCACCAGATGGGTTAGTTTTTTTTTGTTTTGATTTGAACAAAGTTGATTTTGTGTACAATGATTCTTTGACAGTGTGCAAAGAGTGTATCATTTTGTCATTTTTTTTATGCATTTCAGTTTTGAGTAGAGTGAAAGAGATAGAACCAAAACATTTTAATACATTTGGTGAAATTGCTAGTACAATCCAGTAGTAGTGTTGCCATGTGGTACAATCCAGTAGTAGTGGTGTTGCCATGTGGTACACTGAAAAATTGAAATAGCAGGATAGTCACCAAAGTTTTCGAGCCACTCCGTCTGTCACTTCGTTTGTGGTTTGAGTGCGTGTGTTGTCATTCGTAAAGGCCGGCGCACAATAGATACGTTTTCAGGTTTTTTGACAGTTAGCCCATGCATTATCTGTAAAAAAAAACCCGAAAACGTATGCATTGTGCGCCGGCCTTAAGAAACCGACGATCCAATAGGCGAATCCAAAATAAACTAAGCGATTGTTTCAACCTCTGGCGGTGAATAGGGGAACCCTCAAAAGAGTGATGACGGTGGAAATTTTCACCGTGAAGCATAGAAAATGGAAAATATTTTCACCTTTTCTGAATAATTTATCCACGGCATTTGCTTGAAATCATCATCCACGTGGAACATTTTGTTTTCTGTATCGGGTTTGCAGTGATCCGGCTGGTGCTTCCATACATTTTTGATGAGAAAAATTAAGATTTATAAAATTGTCCCAGCGGTCATGATCTTACGGATTTTTAATGTGTGGTTATTTCAGCTGTAAATCAGTTCAGATGTGTAGATAATCGAAAAAATAAGCACTCCCGATGGAAATTTGCAAGTTGTGCAATAAAATGAACATTATTTTAAGTTTTGA